AGTACATCATTTTCCTGAGGTCATACTAGTAAAGTAATTCTGAGAACTTAATGATAGGTATACTAAAAGGTTTTAGCATGGTGCTGTATGCTTTTCTAGGCATCCTTAACAAATAGTTTTAATTGAAAGTCATTCAGAGTAACTAAAAATAAATTGCCCAACATCAGCAGGCAGGCTTATTAAGAGTTTTCTAAGCGTGAAGTACTGTACTGTGCTAAATTTTAAAAAATCATCAGTTTAATCCAAGCAATCCCATAAGGGAATTATGGGATACCTTACCATTTCCACTTAGATGAGAAGACTGATAGGTGACTACTACTTTCCCATGGCTGTGTGATTAATGAATGGCAGGAAAGAATTCAGACCAGGATCAGCCAGCCAGTTGCAGAACCCACCTACTTATGCCTCTATTACTCTATTCAGGAGCTGACCCTGAAAGAGAAAGGACTCAGGAATGATGCCAGGCTGTTTTCTCTTCTTTTTCCCTATAGCATAACAGGCCATCAACAAGTGTGGTACTCACTGAATTGAAAAAAACACATCATTTTTAACAGATAAATACAGGGTAAGTTTGCCTATGAGGAAAATCCCATGACAATAAAGACCCCCTAAAAGAAACTATGTTAAAACCAATTCATAATCACAACTTTTAGCTGAGCATGTTTAGGTATTATTAGTCATGATAATGATATTAGTGTTGACCAGAGAGTGTGTAAATAATCACCCTCTATTTGAAAAAAGTCTAAATTGAGAAGTCACATCTATGGCCAGGCTAAAGAGGATCATGCTGAAATGCAGAGACGATGGAGGTAGGTCTCAAGTGTGTGATTCAGAGATGATCTCAGATGAGAAGGGAATTTTAATATAAATCACCACGTTTCCTTGGCTATGATTTCCATATCCACCAGCATGTGTTGCATGCTGTCATTTGGTAGTACACATTTTTTTTCAAATCACAGCTTCAAACTTTCTTTCAAGAATCAAAATACAAATCAATAACACAGCATCAACAAGTGAATTTGAACCAATAAGTTTATCATAATCCCATTTTCCTGTCGATAAATTATTTTATAATTTTAAAAAAACTGTTATTTTATAATTGTAGTAGTAAATACGTTGCACAATTAAATTTAAATTAAAAGTATAATAAATATTTTTCTATTTTTAGTTCCACTCATAAGAAGGTACAATCAAAATCTATGGTAATGTTTAAATTTTTAAAATGAATTACAGCAAAAAACAATTTACCAGTCATTCCTCAGCAAATACCGCCTCTCACTTCAAATACACTCAGCCCATCATTCCTGCCACTTCGTGAAACAGTTCTGGAGTCCTCTTTCCTGACAGTCTTAGGGAGATATAACCAAATCTATAGCAAATGCTGCTGTCCAGTGTCCAATGGAAACACAACTTCTTACTTGCACTGTTGTGGCTGCCTTGATGTCCCGAATCAAATCAGAATCTACCTTTCACAGTCATTTTGACTTTGGAGAAGAGCCAGAGTTCAAATGGTGTCAGAGTGTTCCTGTGATGGAAAAGCTAGCTAAGAAGACTTGGGTGAGGTGTTGGGCAAATGTCTTCATCTCTTCTGTACTGACATCTCTTCAATGTGTAGTGACACCCGCTGCTATAAGCACTCCTCTCGGATCTGCTGTTCCTCCCCCAATGTTCTCTTGCTTAAGGTGAAGACTTTTTGTATTTGGTGGCCCTCCAACCATTGCTCATAAAAACATTACAGTGCATCCTCATTCCATTTTATTCATCAGATCTGGCACCATTCAACTTTGGGCTCCTCCAAAGTCAAAATAACGAAGGAAGGTAAATTCTGAATTGAAGTAGTCACAAAAACACAAGTAGAGACTCACGAGAGAGGATTTCCAGAATGGCTTCAGGAAGTGGTAAGGATGATGTTCAAAGTGAGGGGGACTATTTTGAAAGGCATTAATGGCAATGTGTCTTTCTACTGTAATACATTTTTTAATTTTTTACCATATTTTTCAATCACACCTCAAACACTGAACCATTAATATTTTTATCAGCATGGTTTTACAGTTATTTTATCTATGAGATGTACAGTATGTATAGTATCATTTAAACTGAAGATACAAACTATTTCTTTGAATTAGCATGCAGACAGTGAAACTGATTTTACAATACAACTGTAATCAATATGCTTAAAATTCACTGCATATGACACACTCCATAAACAGCTCAAAAGCAAATGTTCTGTAAAAATACTCTTTCTTTGAACTAGAGAAGGACTGAGGCTTTTTGATCTAGTGATTTGTAGGGCATAAAATTAGGAATAAGGAGAAGGACTTCACTGAATAGCTTTTCAAACCACAGGAGGCTTTGATTCTATGAAAAGAATATATTACTTTTCTCATATCATTAGAAATCATCTCTACTAAGAAGAAAGAGAATGGAAATTGGGTCAGTTCTTAAAGCAAGTTCTAGACCTCTGAATTCTACTTCAAAACTTATTGAAATTTTATTGTAAACCAAAGAAGCTGCAAATTAAAAGCGATTATAGAAGATTGTCTCAAACCATTTATTTTTTATAAAATACTTAGAATTTATCTTCCCAGTAGAAATTTAACTTTTCTAGATGTTATCTTATTTGAATTCACTTTTAGGGTGGATGTTTCATGACACTCAATGAACTTTAATATATTTTAGGACTTAACAACAAGTTTAGGAATGTATCCTGTGAGTGGTATCTTTAATAACAGAATTTTAAATTGTAGCCATCAAATCCCTTGATTCCTGTGATGACATCAGTTGGTATAAGCACTCCTTTTAGATCTGCTGTTCCTCCTTCAATGTCCTCTTGCTTAAGGTGAAGACTTTTTGTGTTTGGCAGACCTCCAATCATTGCAAAAACAATGCCCATATGCCTTTCTTGCCAGTAAGAGCCCTCTCGATACAAATGCCAAGTGTGCACAGCAATGTGGTTTCAAAAGCACTCAATCCTAATCCTACTCATCCGAGTGTTACTGTGATAGAAAAGATAGCTAAGAAAACTAGGTGAGGTGTTAAGCAAATATCGATAGGTGACATCCCTTAAATGTAGAGAATTATTTTCATTCCATTCAACTCAATTATTACCATAAAAAAATGAGAATGAAAAATGCATCACTATAAGTAGCTAAGAACTTTACATCATCAATGAATGTTTGCTTCAAAAAAAAAAAAAAAAAACAATGTCTTATGTGCATGAACCAACTCCCCTTGATGAATATAATTATTATGCACTGCAAACATGTACTAACAAAATAAATAAAAATTTTAAAAATGAATAAAGGGCCTATTTGTGAAACATTCATTTTCATCTCTGAAATTAGTTTTCCATTTGTCTCTTAATCCGAGTACCAATTAAATTTATTGCAAAAGACACATGGTCTATATAAATGTACGATTCTTCCTTCTGAGAAAGATTTCACTGTTGAAGGAAAGGGCTGCAATATTGTATTAAGCAGCTAAAATTAGAATTTGCATTCCCCTTTCACATGCACAAAGTACAAAATAACTTCTTACACAGAAGTAAATGACTCATCTGTGATCTGATCATTGGTGAGCCTTCTGCTGGCAAAAATATCCTGCAAACATTTAGGACTATGTATAGCTTGACTCTTCCAACTCACCTCTTTTTGCCTCTTGTTAGCAAAACCCTGATCTGTGCAGCTTGTCAAGAATATTGAGAATGAACCAGTCTAAGCCACTTTATAGAACGTGCTCAGTGGTTCCTACTCAGCTAAAATGCTTGAAGGTGGATAGGGCACCTGTTATGACGGCCCACCTTGTACAGATGAGGAAAACATGGCCTTCAGCATTACCTGGAGTGACTCACCTCAGGACACATAATTAATGGAAGAGTGGGCCAGCAATTCAACCCACATGTTCCCTTCTAATTCCCAGAGTCCAGACATTTACTCTTTCTTCACAGCCACACTGCTTTTATTACATAGTCTCTGGGCTGACAAAGGCAGCAGTATCTGACCTCTGGGTATTTATATATTCTACATGCACTCATTCTAGTGTGGTCTTATGTTTTGGCCATATCGCCTGGCATCTCTCTGCAAGTTTTTAGGAACAAAGATCATAAGCTTCAGACTTTACAGGACTGCCAACAATTACTCAGAGAGAACCAGCAAACAGTAATATTTTAAAAATATTAATTGGATGCAAAAGTTTTGGAAGGCCCATCTCAGGGGCCTGGAAGGGAACTGTACGCCACAGGGTAAATGAGTTTATTTATTAACTAATACTGTATTTTTTAAAACTTCTATAAAAATTCACTAATTTCCTTCTTTTTTTTCTTTATTGGTGCATTTGAAGTACAGAATAGTTACACTCATCACTGGGATCTTGAACCTTCACATGACTTATCTTGGTTCTCATCTTTTCCCCATTCCCCTGCCCTCCCTTCACCCCCTCCGCCCTTCCCTATTTATGAAGACTTTTTACATGTTTGTTTACATGTTTGCATGTTTTCCCTTTTCTCTTATTTTTTCTGTTCCCTTTGTACCATTCCCCTCCCCCTCCCACTTCCCCATTTTCTTTTTTCTTATTTTTAAAAAATTCTCTAAGAATGATTTTTATGATACTATCTAGTATTTTCAATGAAGCAAATACTCTCAAACAATATTGATGGAGAAAATAAGCTTCTTGAATGTGATTTATCCATAAGTAAGCATACTTTAAATTGTTATTCCAGCAATTCCAGTTATTCCTAAACAAATAACTAGAATAGTTCAAATATGCCCCAAACTTCTACCACTGATGTGTAAAATTATGAGATAATCTAAATACTAGTGAAAATCCAAACTTCCAGACTCCTAAAACAGGGTGTGGGTCAGCCTACCCAATTCTTTTGTCTCTAAATAACTTTCCTATAATTGAGAAGCACTTCCATACTTCTGATTGTTTTCAACTTAAAAACAGCAATTTCTTTTTCCATTTGTACCAGTTAAACTTAGCTGCATGCATGAATTACATACCTTTATGACATGATGCTTTTCCTGGAAAGTAGGGATCTTAAACATTTGGCACCAATATGTAGTGTCTTTGTTTGGGATGGGGACCTGTCTTAATGAAAAGGGCAGAGGGACACAAAGTCACATTCTGTTGATTCGCTGTTCAGTTCAGTAACATTAATAGTATTATACTTTGTCATTAAACTCATCCCTACAATCATAAAACCTAAAGAAACTTACGTCATGATTTACCAGGTCAAAGTATGGTAAGGCCGTTGGCAATGCATTGGTTTTCTCGGGATTGAGCAACCGCAGACTCTTGGTGCCCCGGTTGGACCCGTGGTACTTGGGACCGGTGTCTCCCACATCTTCATGGTGATAGGCCCAGATCACTCTCACCGTGCTATCCTGGTGACCAGAAATGGGCACATTATGTCTCATAACAGCAGTTTCCCTACCACTTAGTTGAATGCAAACAATTTTATTTAAAGTAGGATATGAAAGTGAGGAAAAGATGGGCTGGGGATTTAGCTCAGTGGTTCTGCCACTTGCCTCACAAGCACAAGGTTCCGAGTTTGATCCCCGGTATTAAAAAAAAAAAAAGCAAAGAAAAGAGAATAATGACATTTGGAGTTCTCAATATGGTCTCTAGCATTAATTTCATATATTTGAGTGAGTAATTAAGGATTGAAATAGATGAGTTCGTTTATAGAAGGAACCATGTCTCAGCATGCAAGGTAAGGTTTCCAAAGCCAAGGGAAGGACAACTGTCTTAGGGATTTTACTCACTTCTGGAACAAGAGGAAGCGAGGGTCATGCCAAAATGCTTGACTAAAATGAAAAGTAGTCATCCAGCAAAAATTATTGTTAGGCAACAAGGACTTTGAAAAATAAAAATGTTTTAATATAATGGGGCACTTTAGGGTAAATAAACAGTGTAAAAATTAAAATTGCCCTAAGACTTTTCTTTTCATGCCTAGAGCTTTTCCTAGGCACTGGTCTGGTCACACGTATGAATTTATAGAAAGTGTAGATACAGTAGGAATTTCTGACTCTGGGTGTATTTTTTATTGCAGAGTCAATCCACAATCCCTTTGAAAATCCTGGGAATTCCCAAAGGTCTAGAATACTCCAACTAGGGAAAGTACTGTCCAGTTTTCTACTGAACCACCAAGACATTAGCCTGCAGGCTGTGGGGCTGGAAAGTTCTGCTGGGATATAAAGGAACTCTGCAGTCCTCCCACACATAATAGTATTTTTGCCAAAACTTTGTAGTAAGAACTTTGAGAATAGAAAATAAAGCAAAGCTATTTACTTTAAATGTTCTTTTTGCTATATTCTTTCTTAATAAGTCAAATGATTGTTAATTATTATTCCAATTAAGGATAATTGCACTGTATATTACATAAACAGTGACCCATGTCTTAGCATGTGCTTTTTTATTCTTCCATTTTCAGTCCTTTTGCTGAATGTTAATTAGTATTACTTTAGACTTTTTACATTGCCACTTTAAAGCTTTACTTTATCAAATAAAACAGATAATTTTATTGGTAAGCAATTTGTGGAACTTCCTGAAATGCTATATGAATTACACATCCTCCAAACATTTCATTTGCATATACATAAAGATATTAATTTTTGCATGAAATCTGAAAATAAGAAATCTCATATAGTATGCCAGTAGGCTACTACAATCAACTGAGTGTTCATCTTGACTTTAGACATTTACAAAGATGAATCAGTTACAAATCAGATGACTGCTATCATAATTCTTTCTTGCAGTACATTTCTTTAAACTTTTAGTCATCATCAATTTTTTAATTTTATAAGGATGCTAAAATGCATTTATGAGTAAGATCACACAAACTTTAAACAGCCCCTCAAAATGTTAAATTCATATATAAACTACCTTTATTTAAATGTATAGTCTTAGTTTTTTTGGAGGAGAGGGAGTTTTTAGAGATTTCAAAAATATTAGGAGTTATGTGATTTTGTTGTCAAAGGTTATTGTTCATTATTTATTCTTCATCCTGTGAAATGTTTCACAAATATAAATAATTTATTCACACGTGCATCCACTTCTGCTCTCCTTACCGTTATGCTCTTGTCATTTACGTCACATGAATGCAGTTCTCTGGTAAATTCGATTATTGTGTGCGTATCATTTTCCATGGCATATTCTAGGTGGTAATCTTGCTGGGGGTCTTTTTTCAATTCTTTATTTGCATTGGTAAAATAGTCCTAGGGAAAATATGGAAAAGAAAACTCAGGATATTCTAAAATCAAAGTGTGAGGAATTTAAGAGTATTTACAGGAACTTAAAACTCAATTTTGTGCTTGCCTACTACAACATCTTTTATTTAGACAATCGTTGTAAATGTTGAGAATTTCCAACAGGGTGGAATAGTCTGACTAGAGAATCAATTATAGGAAATGAGTTTTCACTTAGCAAAAGTCAATGTAGATTTATAATATCATAAAACATTCAAAAATTGCACAAATATTTGAAGTCATTGAGTACTCTCCCTTTGTTGTACAAATGAAGAGGGGACTTCAGCATCGTGGAGTATCTTCCCCCAAACTGAAATGTCTAGTTAGCAGCAAAGCCAAAACCGCACTGAGGTCAATACTCGCCATTATTAGGCCTTCACCATCCATTAAAGCAGAGACTCATAGGAGGGTGTACAAGTTGCTTCAGGTCAAGCGTGAGTGGCACAGACTGATTACAATGAAGGGCAGTGAAAAACTATTCGAAGAAACGAAGTTAGTTGAGGTATAAGATATTGAAAAACTCAAAAAAGTTTTGTTTTTGTGTATCAGCCATAACTTTTGTTCTAAATTTTTTCTATGATGTCCATCACTTCTGGGAGGCAGACAGGTACCATGCAGAGATGGCAGGCCGTGAAACAAAATGGCTAGGATTTGACTCCCAGCTGTCCCCCTAAACATTGGCTTTGCCCAGTAGCAGAAGTCAAACTGTGAGAGCTTTAGTTTTACCATTAGAGTAATAGACACATATATATCTATTTGATAGATTTTAAAAAGATGAATAAATGAAAAAACATGGCCAGTTTCATGTTTTCCATTCATTGCTTTCTTGGAAATATAATTTGGATTTTCCTACCCACAGATTTTGCTCTGCCCTTTACCATCACCTTACTGTGCTGAGAGCTGTCAAAATGATGCTGTTGATTTTCATCACTTATGAAAGACACAAAACTTGCCTTAATTATACCTTTCTAGGCCCTGGTGATATTTTACTTTTGAAAATATTATTAAAAGTTTTAGAATAAACATGCTGAAACAATTATAATTACTCATATTGACATTAAAATTATATGTGAAGGAATGATTGCTACGTTTGACTGAGAAAATATAATACACAAGACAAATCCTTTAAATTATGAAAGTCAAATGCAAATGGATAGCATTTGGCATTTTTAATTCCTAAATTTAGGAATAAAATTGAATTTAATTTTAAATAAAATTTAATTTGAAGATAATTATCAAGGGTGTATAAATTTTGACATCTAGGGTCTATATATTCTTTAATACATGAAAACCCCAAATGGCTGGTAATGCACAGAGTCTAACCATTTTTCACCCTGGTGACTATAATGACAACTTACGTGTACATCCTATCAACCAGGCCTTGTTACACGTACTAACTGGTTTAATTTTTATACCAAATCTATACGATCAATTAATTTTCCAGTTTGCAGATGTAGACACTGAAGCAGCATGTTCAGGGTTACACAGCTCTTAGACTGTAAAGGCAACAGCCAAGCCTGGCAGACTGACCACAGAATCTTTATTTTTTCCTATTCTACACTCTAGTAGGCACTGCTGGATTGGGGCGGGTCCATTTTTTTTTT